CTGGTCTATTTCTAGACAGAAATAATAATGGTAATAATAATAATAAAATAGTGGCCACAATAATGTCCACTATACGTTTTAAGTTGTGCACGCGTGTTTCAAATTTAACGTGTAAATAACAGCGGGCAAAGAGACTACAATGAGTAGACGCCTCAACGTAAAAACAAACCCTCCAAAACAAACATAATTGACGTATAATAGATAAACTCTCAACAGCGCCAGAATATTAAAGTTTAGAGTTTAGAGAAGATCAGTAACTGTCATGAGTGTTAATATTGTTTTACTCCTTAGCGTCTTAAAGGAACCCCTGAAACATCAAAATAGTTGACGACCTATGGTGTGCAGTGTAATTTTTACCATTTCCAAGAGTGAAAAGGAAATGCCTCCCCGTCGGGGAATCGAACCCCGGTCTCCCGCGTGACAGGCGGGGATACTCACCACTATACTAACGAGGACCGCTGCAAAGGAACGTGACGCTGTTCTTTTTGTTACTTCATCACGTATACTTTAGGACATATTCTCTTGAATTGTTTACTTAACACTAGATTTACTAAACGGCCCTCAACTGTTTCATATCCATTCTCTATGGGAGTCCTAAACCACTACGGGTGCAATATATTTTTGTCCACTATGGTCTTGTGGCGCTATTATATAAATGTATAGTGATGACTCTCCCCGTTTGTCACGCGGGACATCGGGGTTCGATTCCCCGACGAGGACACATCACTCCTTGACCTCCAGGAAATGCCTTTAGCTACATGTGAAAGGAGTTTTTGTGATATGTGCCTTGCTGGTAGTAACAGTGTGTTGAGGAGTCATTTCACCCCTTGTCCCATACCATTCAAGATTAGCCGAAGTTAATACCATCATCAACACTATGAGAACCTCTTTCTCCCTCACTCCCATGGACTTCTTCATCCATATCTCATAATCTCAATTCCTTTTTTCCCATGAAAGCTAGTTTGCTAAGTGAGCAGTAAAAGCACTCCCAGCAGAAAAAAAACAAGCCATGTCTTTGTTTTACTGTAAAAAAGAAAGAAAGAAAAAAAAAGTCCTGAATGGTTGCTTAAAGGTCATTACAAATCCTGTGTGGTTCATGTGGTTTTTCCATTTCAGTTCCTTTTCTCTCAGTTGTTTGACAGACTTGGACTCTAGTTGCGCTCCAAGTTTAATTTGACATCGTGTTTACACAAAGAAACCTTGGTCTTCTATGAATCAGAAATACTCCACTTATCATTACAGAAAAAAACATTCATAAAATGAAAAAAGTACATATAACACGTAAGTGTATATAGTCATGTCATGTTAAGATTTGTATTTGTTTCCAGTTTCCCATATTGTTTTTGTCCACCCCACCCTAATTATTTCCACCTTACTAAGTACACCTTTAGTGCTTCCATAGCAATTAAGCAATTCAAGTTAAAAATTGAACTCTTTAGGGCTTTCATTTGTACTTTGTGATTGTTTCATAACTATTTAAATATATTTTCCGAGTTTAACCTTAGATTTCGTATTTCATATTGCTCCTTTTTAAAGCAGCAAAACAATGTTCATAAAAGCCCCATTCTTGCACATAAGTATGATTGGTTTGTATATAATTACGGCTAAGGTCTTCTTCCTTTACATAACAGAATTTAAAGCGATATTCTGTTGTTTATGCCCGTTCAAGGAAAATAAATAATTTGCCTAATAATTCTATAATAATAAATAATTCTGCATGCTGAATTCGCTTTTATTTTGAAAAGCCGTGACACGGCGGAAGTAAACAGTAATCACGTTACAACCCGGAAGAAATGCCTTTTCTCTGGTTAACATTTGAATAGATGAGAATGACCAATTTAGCTTTTGGAGAAACGGTTAAACGCGATGCTGCTCCTGTTGTGCAGCCTCTCATAGTCGTTTTTGTGTCCTAATCTTTGAGTCTGGAGGTGGAGGCGGTCGACTACGAGCAGCAACGCCCCGATGAGAGCAGGCAGCCCGTCAGAAGGAGAAAAATATCTTCGGTGTGTTTACCAGGCGGTTCAGGGAGGCTGTTTCCCCGCAGTGTGTCGTTAGCTCACCGTGCGGCTGTGCGACTGGTTCTTCAGACGGAGAGGAAACATGGCTGAGCTGCATGTTGTGGAACCTAGCGGTGCTGGCACCATAGAGCAGCCCGAGCACCGCGACATCCGGGGCTCGGTGCGCCTGGCGTCGCCCACCCTCATTGTTCCGCCGCGGAGCAGCCAGCTCAGCCCGGGTGGGGTGTCAGGCTGCAGCGGCGGCGGCGGAAGGTCGGTGTTTGGGTTCCCGGTGAAGAGCAATCCCAGCTCCCCGTCCGAGCCAGTGGACAAGCCGGGCTCCCGCTGGGTCCGGCTTAACGTCGGTGGTACCTACTTCATTACCACCAAACAGACGCTGTGCAGGGACCCCAAGTCTTTCCTGTTCCGCCTGTGTCAGGAAGACCCGGACCTGGACTCTGACAAGGTGAGTGGGACGCCAGAAAAACACATATACATACAACACAGGTTCACACAGCAAAGGGACGCAAAGAACACAAAAACCATGAACACTAAACTGTAAAAACACAAATTAAAAAGTGAAAAATCAATTTCCACAGTAGTACCCATCTGCCCTGTACAAAATGTTTATAGACTACTGCAGGTAAAAGCACAAGGACGATACACTTCAGTTTTAAAAATTAGAATTTTCTAAATTAGTCCCACATTTGCAAGAAAAAAATTACACGAAAAATGGCAAATTTTACATTAACGAACTTCAACGTTAAAGAAAAAAAAAATCTGAAAATTTATGAGAAAAAAACGGAGAAATTTAATAGAAATAATAGCAAATATAGGTCAACAAGCCTGAACATTTACAATAAAAACCCCATAAAATTTGTAAGAAAACTTGTCAAATTTACAAGAAAAAAAACTATAAATATACATAAACAATCTTTCCAATTTAAAAAAACAAACAAACAAACAATAAAAAAAAACAAAACAAAACATGGAACTTGCTCCTCTGTTAACATGGAACTTGCTCCTTGGAACCTGTTAATTCTTGCAGGACGAGACAGGAGCATATCTAATCGACAGAGACCCCACGTACTTTGGCCCTATCCTGAATTACCTTCGGCATGGAAAACTGATTATGGATAAGAATCTGGCAGAAGAAGGTAAAAAGCAAAAGCATAATGCAGAGCTGTCAGTGAGCAGCATCTCAGACACCAAATAACACATTCATTCGATTTGTGTTTCAGGCGTTCTGGAGGAAGCCGAGTTTTACAACATTGCTTCCCTGGTGAGGCTGGTGAAAGAGAGGATACGGGACAACGAGAACCGGACATCTCAGGTAAACAAAACTAAACCAAAATAAGTCTTGGTGGCTGACTTTCTTCCAGTGCAAATATAACCCAGGTAGCTTGTAAAGTGTTCAAACGAAATGTGTGCCTGCCTGCAGATTGTTGATGCTTTTTCAGTAATGCTCTGCGTGCCTTTGCTGTGTCCCTCAGGGCCCTGTGAAGCATGTGTATCGAGTACTACAGTGCCAAGAGGAGGAACTCACGCAGATGGTCTCAACTATGTCGGACGGTTGGAAGTTTGAGCAGGTGCAGAAAACGCAGCTTTTAAAATATATGTCATCTTTTAGTTCACGCTTTAGTTGATTCGACGCCGCAGTTTTAAGCTCCGCTTGCCCTGAGATGTATGCCAGCACATTGTCGGGTATTTATTTCCACACAGGAAAGACTGGGGCACAAAATGTTTTAATCATGAGCAGGAATGGCTACTAAAAGTACTTCATTTGGTCTTGACCTGAATCTGTATGCAGTCGGATTCTGTCACCTTGTAGTTTCCTCTATATTAGTAATCATGTTTTATCAATATGAACCTGTATCAATTTTTTTGATCTTCAAAAGATAAAAAAGATCTTTGAACCTTATAATGAAGGTAAGTATGAATTAAACTCCTGACATTAGTAATAGCTGTAAATAATTATAGTCATTGCTACATGTGACTACTCCGCAAAGGTCTGATTATGACGATTTGGTACTTTTAACATTAATAGAAAATACCACATTTGTTGCATTTATTAAATTTAAAGAGCTAAAATAACACAACTCATTTGTCTTTTTTAAATTACCAACAAACATGACAGAACTATTAGCACTTTTAGGCCTACAGTTGCTATAAAGCTCTGCAGGAAACTTTGAGCTCTATCTATGTTTGTGAAAAATAACCTGACCGGTCTCAGTCACAGTCGTCTAGAGACCGATTGGCAAACCCTTAGCATCCTCCAGTTGCTAGGGGAAAATGTTTAATCTTCAACCACCCTCAAGCACCGGCATGTCACAGTTGGTGCTCAACAAAGCCAATGTGGTCACCATAAACAAAGCATAAGCCAGCGGCTTTGGCTGTGAAGGCACACCGACACCGAGCAGTCCGCTGACTGCTGATTTATTTTGTATTTGAGTTTCCCCAGTGATTTTAACGTCTTTGGAAACCGTAGCCAGGGTAAGTTAAATAAATAAAAAGTTAAAATTCCAAAATGATATCCATCAAGTCTTTTGTCAAAGCGAGAGTGAGCCACAGGAGTTGAGTTGCAGGGTGGCCATCTTTGCTGTAGGGCAAAGAAAGAGAGGTCATGAACAGACTACAGAAATGCAGTGATGTGCTGAAATATCGCTGTAAGTCTATATTGGCAAATAAAATGTCATTTATTAATTGTATCAAATCCCTTTTTTCAGGCTGAGTTTTCAAAATAGGAAAACTTAAAATCATTCAGTTGTTTTTTTATATAATGAATATTTCTTTGTTTGATTAGGGGTTTTTTGGTTTTTTTTTTTGATGTTGTTTTTCAGACAATTTTAACAGTTTCTCTAAAACAACAACAACTAAAAGTAAATAGTATGGTAGAACTAAATTAAATGGGAAAAAACACAAGTTATTGACTGAAAAGGTGCAGAGTGTGAAACGTCTTGGAAATGTAGGCTCTCGTCTAACTCCGGATCTTTTGTTTCTTTGCCCATCTCCGCCCTCAGCTTATAAGCATCGGCTCCTCATATAACTATGGCAATGAGGACCAGGCTGAATTTCTATGTGTAGTTTCCCGGGAACTCAACAACTCCACTAATGGCATCGTCATTGAGCCCACCGAGAAGGCCAAGGTAAGTCGACGTTTCATACTGTTGTTCAGGCTGTTTGAACATTTCCTGCAAACTGCAGTGAAGGACCGTGTTTGTGTATTAAAGTTTATAAGCCACAGAAGCTACAGGATCCATGTGTAGGAACCAAAGCTGCACTTGAATCGTCCAAAACACTAAATCCTACTTCCTTTTTCCCACAAGTTTCCCTTGACTCGATAGAAAATGTCACGAGGTCACTAAAAGATCTGAAGAGGTTTTAATGAGCTCAGACAAGCTAACTGCTCTGACGCTAGACTCTTTAATAATGTGGCCAGATGTTGTTGATGTGAGTCTGCTGTGTTAAAACCACAGTGCCCCAAAGATGGGCAAAAATGAGCGCATTGTGGATACGTCACCCCATGAAATGTTTCAAATAAAAGAGGATCACTGGTTGAAAATTATTACTTCATTATCTAGTTTGTAATCTTAAAGAACAGGGAGTGAAACAGCTTATTAAGTGGAATTAAATGCATCCCAACATTAAGTTTGTGTTTTTAAATGGATGTTAACGACCGGCGGTGCAGTAAAGCTGTATGCAAGACGCTTAATGCGAGATACAGCAACACAAGTGTCTGGATGTGCTGTTGATTCTTTTCTTTCCGGCATGCTGCCAGCATGCCAACAACCTGGGCTCGGTCAGCATCAGTCAGTCTCGGCACGGTGACCTGATGGTTTAGGGTCCATACTTGAATTTCAAATTTAATTCCGATACCCTGGAAAATGATCCATAATCGATGCTATTTTCAATACCACGGCAAGATTCTTAGCCCATCCTGTGGTAACAGAACTAAGAACTAACAGAATTTTTTTAAATCTGGCTACAGCAAAATAATAAACATATTTTTATAATTATTATCTTGTTTACATACAACGTCTACACTGCTCCACCTTGGTCTGTAGCGCTTTACATCCACAGTTTTCTCTTCAGGCCTGAAACCATCCTTGACTAAAACCCAGAGACAAAAGCTACTCAGTGTTGTCTAAGAGATTAAAGTTATGTGCTGGGAACTTAATTTAAAGCATCCATTCTAGACATGTTTCATGACATAAAACTTGAATAGTTTATTTTCACTTCCTGCTGAAGAGACGCGCCAGTATAACTTCTGCCTTTATTTTAGGTTCAGTGTGTAAAATCTCATATTTTTCAGTTTGGTCAGCTGAATTGTGTAATCCTCCCCCTCTCAATTCAAGTGCTTAACCCAAACTACAGTAGATACAACATGGGTAATAAAGGTAGCACTGAAGCACCTTCCTTAGTGTTTGTAGAATTTAATTTTACTTCCATTTCACTTGACTCAGTGAGGAACCTTCCTAATGAAAATATTTGACTGTTGGACCGTAGAGTGGACCTCACCATCTCATGTGGCTTCTGCTCATTTGGGCGTTTTTCACAAGCAGCCTCTCTGAAAGTCAAAATGCATCTGTATGAAAAATGCATTTTCTGAAGTTTGAGACCTTCAGTTGGTGGAAAGTTCGTGTTATACTTTTACCGTAGCTCAGTTTATTGTGCTGTATTAAATACTTAATGTGGAAGCTTACGCTACAACAAATACAGGAGCTAAATATAACCGTATGAATGAGCTCAGCTAGAAATAGTCTGTGTGCTGGCAGCCAGGATGCCACAAAAGTCAAGAACCTTCTGAACTTTACTGAGCCGCTGCTGCTGTTGTGTTCAAATCCTTTGGTATTGTTTATCTTCGTAGTTCTTACCTGCTTAACAGTGAGTTAACAAGATCTGCAAGATTATTTTCATGTATGCGATCATATCCATGAAATCAGTGCAAAGACTCGGATTTCATTCGCTCCTCTTGTGTCTTTTTTATGGAACTGAGTTCGTTTACAAGATGTTATTTATCAATGAAAGCATGTTTTCTCAAGTATAAAGCATTTATCGACCAAGTATTCATTATAAACTTTTTTTTATAACATGCACTCTTGCAAATGACCAGCAGGGGGCCACTTCTGTAGTCTACGTTGTATACAAGTCTTTCGGGAAACTATTTCTACTTCTCACTTGATCCACTAACTTTCCAAATAATCTAATGCTGTTAATCATTAGTTTCATATTTTATTAAATCCAATATGCTGCTTGTTTTGAAAATTTAGTTCCTGTTTTAGAGAAAACTAGGTGATAAAGCTGGTATGATTCAGATTTACAAATCTGTATCAGGATACTGGCGTGCTGCATCCTCAGTTTCACATCCATAATTATGGTGTCCAGGCTTTTCCCTCAGCGAATAACAATTTAAATAATTTCCTATGCTCTGGCTGAAAAAGGGAAGCTAATGCTAAAAGGAAACCCAGATTGCTTTGACTGATTGTTTGTTTTGGACAGATTTCAGCTGGACGAAAACCCCAAGCAGTTATTCTGCATCTGCATTCATTATGAAAAAGTATGCAAGGAATGAAATTTTGTTACAACTGGTTCAACAGAGGATTAAATTATTTTAAAAATATGTTAAATATATCAGTAAAAATACTATAGAGTGTACTGGATAAAGTGATGGCATAGAGAGTGGAAAGTAGTAAAAAGTGGAGTACAGCACACTGACTGCTGAAATATTTACTGGATTACAACATTTCAGTCTGTCTGACCCTCTCTTTGTTCTCCTAAATGTCTCAGCAAATGTGACACATAGTTTGTGAAGGGAAAAAGCAACGATTTGAGAATGCTGTCTGTGCAGGAACCTGAACACCATCGCTTTTTTATATCAGTTTAATCTAACACTCCTTTTTTTTATTGCAAAAACCCCTCAGAATTCAAAGTGTTTAAGTGTTGTTTTTTCTTGCTTTTTCTTAAACGTCTTGTTTAGATGTTTGAAAGTGGTCTTTTTCCTGTCTGCCTTTCGCAGATCCTTCAGGAGCGAGGCTCGCGGATGTGAAGAGATCCTGAGCTTAACAACAGTTTATCAGCAACAACCACGTTGTTGTCGAACATTTTCTTCACTTTCATAAACCCCCTTCCACCTTTTACCATCATCATCATCATCATCATGATCATCCGCCCCTTCCCTTCTCCTCTGGTGTGCCTTTCCACAGCGGGCGCTGTTGGCGTCCCCCACAATCCTTCAGTGCTGCAACGTGACCCTGGCTTGTCGTCTCGTCTCTCCTTCTTCACTTTGGAAGAGAGACGACAGGTTCAGGGCTTTTCCTCGTTGCAGCTTTTTGTTGGACAATGTGACAGGAGCGCAGGCCATGGCGCGGATATTAGCCTCTTGTTGTTCTCAGTTGGACGGACAGAGCTACCAGAAATCATCGTCTCCATCTCCACCTCGATTCTGGATCTCCATCATCGTTATCAGACGGGATATTTCCTCTTGTCTTACACATCTGGCTCTGTTGATTTAGCAGAAACCTCCTCAGGACTCTCAAAGGACATAAAGGAATGAAAACACTCCACTTACTGACCGAGAGAGCATCGACTCCTCTGCAGGTGGAGCCCGAGACGGAGCAGTCGCAGGCGGATGGCGCACGGACCGATCACTCATTACGAGCTAACCTGGAGCGGCATCTTTTCTGCGAACCAAGACGTCTCCAGTGGCTCCTTTTGATCTGTAAGAAAAGAACATCCATGACTAAAAAAACGGACTTACCTACACTAGTGTACAATTTGTCAAGGCATGTGAGGAATCTATATAAATCTATATAGGCTACATGATGAAATTATATGAAAAATTGAATGCAAATGGTGTAATTATTGATTTCTGTATCATAGTTGTGATATATTTACATATTCTGGTGGTTGAGTCTATTTAAACAATGGAGAAAATATCAGTTTTCCCGCCCGCTAACACGGGTGTGAATTTGTGTATGCAGTGCCTCTCTGCTTTCTGTTCATCCTGAAATATCACCAGTTTTTCAGCTGCACGTTTTCTGTAGTGTTCCTCAAAGAAAAAAAGAAGATGACACCGGTAAGTTTTCTCTTAAATATCCGACTTTAAACTATTGCATATCTTAAAATTGTAATTAGGGATAAGGAAAACTACTGTCATTGTCATTTGTCCAAGTAAAGCGTGGTGGAGGTTGGACTGTGGCCAGACTGTATGCTGCCTCAAAACCCTGAAGCACCCCTCTCCTCTCGGGCCTCGTGCTATTCTCTTTGCCAATATTCGCTCACTTTGCAGCTGCCTCTTGTTGCCACACCAAAATGACTGTGTTGTCTTACACTCTGCAGCACTTGTAGCAACCGTGGCGCAAGCTAAACTGTACCGCTCACCGCTTAAAGCCCTGAGATACCTGAGTTTTATACGCTGTGTAAACAACGCTGCCAGCTGGGAAGTGAGTTCAGTTTTCGTGAGCTCGAGAGCGAAGCCTTAGTAGTTTGGCTAAAGTATGTTGTTCTTGTGCTAAACATTATGTTGATATGTTATTGTGCTGTTTTTGACGCTTTCAAAAACACTGCAACAACATAGAAATCTTCTGTACACAGGCCAGGATGTGAGCTTGATTTATACTTCCACACTGTAACAGCTGCTTGGTGGTGAATAATGGAGTATATTACTTTTGCAAACGTAATGCATATAATGGGGTTATGGGGGTTACAGGGCTAATCTAGGAGCAAGTAACCTGCCTGAATAATTCAGTGTCAGCTGCCTGCTTTTTTTTTTTTTTTTTTTTTAGTAAACTGTTAGTGGCATAGAAAGAAACCACACTAGCTGTGAATGCTAACAACAGCTTAGCGAAATTGTAATGCAGAAGTATAAGTCAAGCCTTAATCTGTGCACATGTGTGCAAGTGAACTGGCTCGTACTAAAGCGAAAACGGTGATTTGTCAGTTGACAGAAAATAAACGGGGATCTGTTCTGGCCATTTTAGCTCTAGAGTTTTATTCTTGAGCTTTGCATGAGTCACATTTCAGGCTAATCCTTATTTGTCCTACATTTGGGCCGCTTAGCTCATCCTTGAACTGAAACAAGCTCCTTTAGCTCCCGGATCCTGGACTCTAGTCTGATTGGCTGCCCCTCGTAAAGACAAACTGAACTTTTGGCTCCCTGGGATTACTTGTACATAAGCTCACCTCATTTCATGAAACTTTAACTCGGCTTGATGATAGAACAGTAGGTCCCCTTTAATCTGCCACAATTGGATATCAAGTCACTTATCAAGCAGAAAGGACAACTGATCTTTCAGTTTTCTGCTTTTTCTTTTTTATATTTATGTAAATTGAATATAGTTTGGTTTGGAACTGGATCGGTGCTTCCCTAATTTGTAGTTTATCACATAATGAAAATTTTAAAACATTTCTGGAGTCCAGATGGTTTAAAATGGGTTCATGGGCCTTATCAAAATTGGGTAATTAGTCACATTTATTTTAAAAAGAAAAATCCAATAAAATAGCAAAATAGCTTTTTGTACTTCTTAGTCACACATCTCACTTCTTACATCTTGGCTTCAGATGGCCCACCTCTCACCTTTGAGCCTATTTTCAATCATTTTTACTCAAATAATCAGTAACTGTTCAGCCAGTATTCATTTATTTGCTTATGAGCAAGAAAATCAATTTTATTAGCAGGTGATGAAGAAATGCACCTAATCCTCACACTGAAAAGCGATATTCTATTTCTGCTCCATCAGTGACTCACATTTGTTAGTTAATTATTATATTATATTTTATTTATTCTGTCAGTGACTAATCATTTCACCATCTGGGGTAAATGCAGCTCGTTCGTGTGAGCAACTTGATGCAAAGTTTGAGCCATATTTGCACATATCAGAAGGAAAACCGAGAATCACGTTGTTCACATTTTAATCAAAGCTGAGGAGCGCTCAGTCATTATTGCAGACACCTATTACTGGCATTGACCCCTTTGATAATCCATCCTTTGTATAAAGAATTTATTTGATGCAATTATGTTGTACCAAGCATGGGGAAAAATAATGCATTTTATTGGGGAAAAATGGTACCTTACCTGCTGTTGTTACGCTCCCTGACCATGTTCGGTCAGGATTCGGAGCTCAAACTTTGATGTGACTTCCTCTTTGTTGTTGAGGGTTTTTTTATATATATATATATTCTTCACCTATTGAGTGTGTTGTGCTGTTTTCTTCAACAGACCAGAGTCATGAGCAGACTTGCTAAAAATACTGCTAAAAATGCCCAAACATGTCATTCAGAAGCACTTTTGTTTCCTCCCTTGTGGTTTTCTTGGCCCATTCAAAGCACCTTGGGTGTTGATTCCCTTCGTTTTTGTCCAGTGTTGTGCCTTTGACCTGTGTTGTGCACAGTTGTACTCCCCTCTTATCATAATGTGCCTCTCATACCTTAAAAAAGCCAGGAGGCACGTATCTGAGGTATCATGTATACTGTGGTCTTTTTATCCTGGTTTTTATCGTTGGTGTTTCCGTAAGAGGCGAACCAAACGGAAACACTACCCTTGGCGTTATTTTATTATATGTAAATTTTACAAATTGCTGCTTTCTTTGTGCCATTGCGTTCCAGCTCAATCCAACCACAATCCCTCACACTCCTGGAGGTTTGACATTTCTGTTGTGGTGGTTTGTTGGCATTGTTGGTGGAGTGGACGACAGGAAGTCAGTCCAAGCTGGTTTCCCTTTTTTTAATTTTTGCTCGTATCTTAGTAAAACTCCAAAAATGCACTTGGCAATTAATTTGATGTCAAACTTATTGTATTGTGGCAGCTTCTTTTCTCCTTGACCTGCATGCTGAAGCTACCTACAATGGCCCCACTTTTAAGTGTGTGTAACCAATATTTAAAGCACTTAATGTACCCTCGTGAACCCCGGTTTGGTCTCACCATGGTTGCAGAGTTTGGTGGCTCCCAACTTGAGTTTTTTTTTTTTTAACTTTCTTTCAATGTTGCTTTTAGCCCAAGAGCTTAGGAGTATCAGTCAGTTTATAGACTGGAAATGTTGGTATTTAAAATGACAAAAGAGGTGATTACATGGCAAACGTTCAAGTACAGAAACCTGAAAAAAAAAGCATCATCGCAGATATTTTGCTGGTGTCGTTAGCTTCCCATTAATACAACAAAATTTTATCTTTTAATTCATTTAATTTTTTAATTCAGCTAAGTTAAAATATAAAAATATTGTAAATAGAACTAAATATATCACAGACTGGTAGGGTGGGAGTTTGGGCTAGCTACTGCTATAAAGGAAAAAGATACATGGGATTTATAAAACAAGAAGAAACATTTTTAATGATAAAACTGCCAATTTAAAGTTTGTTTAGTAGATATTAGCATTTTAAAGCCAAAATTAGAATTCTAATTATTTAGTGTAATGGGTTTAACACATTTTTATTTAAAAAATAAAAATGTGTCAGAAGATTCTTTTGGAAATATCAATTTTACTGTTAACTGCCACCTCTGTGTTAAGCTAATTAGCTTTTAAGTTCTTGTTAGCATCGAGCTAGCCACACTATCTTCATGTAGCTTTAGCTTTAAGCTTTAGATTCATTTTTTCCCCCTGAATTTAAATATAATTTAGCTGAAAATAAACAAAACCACCCGATCATCATGAAACAGAATGTTATACAATAATTTATTTTTTAAATTGTCCTGCTCTACAATAATAACGTCAGCGTTTTGTTTAGCCACTGTGAGAGTGTTAGCGTGTTGATGTTAACTCTTTGTTTTATTTCTTGAGGAATTAAATAAACTGTTCAGACAAGCTAAAATGTTTTTAAAAAGTAGAAATATGCAACCAAAAAAGTTGGGAACCTCTGACCGAGCTAAACTTGGCAGTGTGTTTATCTCAATATTTTCTTCAAACCATATTTTCTTTAAACAGAGAAACAACTTTTGACCTGTTTTTGTTGTTTTGTTTTTTGGGGGTTTTTTTTGGGGGGAGGGGGGTATTTTTAGGGGGTGTTTTTTTGTTTGTTTGTTTTTTTTACGTTCACCTGTGCTAGTTACTCAACAAATAACATGCAATGCTAACAAATCTGCAAAAAATTACTCGTGAAAACATGAGAGCATGCATTGTACTAGAGATGTCGTGTACTGGATTTTGTCTGACCTCTGTGTTAGTGCAAACTAAATGTGATGCATGGTGTTGGGAAGCAGAGGGACGGCATGGCTCTGTGGTTTGTAGGTGTAGATTTCTTAAGTGGAACAGTTGGTCTACAAGTCGACGTATTCTCCTATTCACAACTTCTGTTTCTTTGTCGTTTTTGTATCTTTGTCACGTCAATTGATCTTAAAAGTAGAAACAAGAGCTAGCTTTAATCACATATTACCCTACTGATGATATTGCAGACGTTTTCACCCCCATAACCTTGGTTTATATAGCATTTATGTGACCTGCAGGTCAACACAAAACTAAAAAAAAAAAGTTTTTTTTAATTGATTGATCATTTTGCCAGTTAACCTGTAAACACCTGCATGCGTTTGTGGACATGCACACTTGTACACTCATTTAGACGTATTGATAATGTCACCTATTAACTTACTTTGTGTTCATTTATCAACAGTATTGATGTCAAATGTGAATATTGTCAACTGAGACTGTGGAGAAACGTCTGGAAGCCGACAAAACATTTTGTCTGATTGTTTGTTTCACTTTTATTTATTTTATATTTTCTGAATTTTGTCTACCATGTAACAATTTTAACAAAAACCCAGTCTGGTTTTTATTCATAAAATGTGTCTGTGTTTTAAATTGTGGCTCACTGACTATTTGTTGGTTCCTTTGAGTGTTGATTAAAAAAAAATAAACAAAGTGAAGTTCATAACAAAATATATGTTTTGGAAATGTCTGTTTGCAGCCAAATTTGAATGTTAGAGACAAAGCTTTAAGACCTACCACAATATTAAAACCATCTGACTAGGATTATCTAGGTCTTTGTGCCTTTAAAAACACTTTAATCAGTCTGGGTATGGACGTGGAACCACGGTCAGTGGTCCCGTGGTGGTGAGTTTCCATGACACTCTAACAACAGTCCTTTGATATGTGGAGTCTGCATGTTGAAGCCTCGGGCTTAGATTTTCACTCATCACTGCCATATATAGCACAAAAGATGGATGAAGCCAATACAGAAGTGCCTTAAACTTGCATTCTATTTAATGACCAGCAGGGACCCTTGTAGTTGCAGGAAAACTGCCCTCAGCTCCCTCTCTGTTACCTCAATAAATACCCTTGTAATGATTTCCATGTGTTAGTCTCCAGTTTCGGGTCATATTGAGCTTCTCATTAGCAAATTATGGTCATCACAGGTGTGAAAAAGTAGGATTGTCCAGTCTAACAACTAGCCAATCAAGTTGTTAGTCAATGAGCTTGTGGTTTCACAGCCTTCCAAAAGCTCAAGATGTCAGGATCAAAAATGTTACCTTAAGACTTCACAACAGGACTTCACTCACCTATGGGTGGTATCATTGTGGTGGCATCTGAGCCTAGGAGGTTTGGTTATCAAGCTCCATCCATAAACTATAAGTGGATATGATAACTGCTAATTCGTACTGTAATACTGGACGTACTTCTTAGCTGCTATGTACCACACAGGAAGCCATTATATATTTATCAAAAGCAGCGCCAATACTGTGGTG